GAGCAATTCCCTGATATTTTAAGGAGTAGTCCTAGATTGGAGGCTTCTTGCAACAGTATAATCACATTACATATAATAAAGTTTTTAACACTATAGTACAGTACTGTAATAGCTATATGCTGCACACATGTTGCCCATGCTTAACCCATATAAGTATTTTAATATGCTAAACCTAGAATTTCATTAACTTATATTTCTACTTCTTTTTCCAAAGGATGATGCAAGTACTGAGATCCTGGCAAGTGTTGAGTGGAGTAGCAAGACGATCACTCAGTACCCAAGGGAGGTTGAATGCCCAGGCGGAGACAAGGTCACGACATGACAAGCCACCTGTCCCTGTTACTCCCCAGCAGTACATGGACAGGGAAGAGAAGTTTGGTGCCCATAACTACAAATCACTCCCAGTTGTCATCTCTCGAGCTAAGGGTAATTTATGCAGTGTAACTTTTTCTTTGCTTCCTAATCAGGAATTCATGCCGATATATAAAGACATTTTTTAATTGTTTGTTTCTGTGAAAATGTTCTAATCATTCTAATGTATAGTATTAATATCTTTTGTAATCACATTTGTAATAGGGTTTCATTCTGTCCCATGAGTTTTTTCTAATCAGAGTTTCACTGCTTTACTGATCAGGGCTTCATTGTGGTGCACTAGGTACATGAGGGGGTATCAGACAATGATCCTCAGGCCACAGGAGTCACGGGTTACTCTAATTATGATATAACTATTCTTTTAGCACAAAATCATGAGGTGCAGAATATATTAGAGAAGCTTTATGTATTTTGCTGTGATGATGATGTTAATTACAGTATTTGAGATCAACTTTGAGATTGCTTTATTGTTTGTTTTATGTAAATACTGAATCAGAATATTCTGGTGAATTTAAGCACTTCATAACATAGCTAAAACTATTATTTCAGTACAACTAGTAAAGTTCTCATGAATTTGAGTTGCCCTTTTCATTTGCTAGATGTGAATACTTTAAAATAGGATGATAATGGGTCCCAGTAACAAAACTTTAAATTTGCTATTTTATCTAATACTGTACAGGAATATTCAAGGTAGAAATAACTGGCATGCAAAATTAAAAATATTGTACTACTTTGCATTCTTCAACAGGTGTTTTCATGTGGGATGTGGAGGGTAAACGGTACTTTGACTTCCTGAGTGCATATTCTGCCGTGAACCAGGGCCACTGTCATCCCAAGATCCTGGAGGCTCTGCAGCAGCAGGCATCCACCCTCACCCTCACCTCCAGGGCCTTCTACAATAATATACTGGGGGAGTACGAGGAATATGTTACTACGCTCCTTGGATATGAAAAGCTCCTTCCCGTGAACACAGGTAATGTCCAACCCCTCCTCACTCACTCATGAACAAGAAAACACAGGTGGAAATTTAGTTCCTAAATAAGCCACAGATACGTTAGAAAGAATTTTGTCAATGTCAGAGTAGTTAACAAATGAATGCATTAGGAAGTAATGTGGTTGAGGCAGACTGCATTAGGAAGACTGCTTTATGACTTGGAGCCCAATAGGGCCAGGAACCTCTACACCAGAACCTGTAGTTGATTGACAGTTGAGAGGCGGACCCAAAGAGCTGAAGCTCAAGCACCGCAAGCATGAGATGAATACAACTGAGTACTCACTCACTCTCGCCATCACCTTCACTCTTTCACATACTCACCCTCGTCATTTCATTCACTCTCACTCACTCACTTGGGAAATTATACACATTCTCTTTCTTTTGCCAAAATAAATACTGTACCATAAGCAGACAATGAGTCACAATAACATGGCTTAAGATATGATGACCAAATCACACACCAGAAGATGAAGAGATGGGGATGCTAAGCCCCGGAAGCACCTCAAGGTATGACAATGTTTCAGTCCATCCTGGACCATTTTCAAGTTGACCTTTGAAACATTAATATTTATTACTAGCAGGATTTACCTTAAAATTTCTTATAATATATATTATATATATATTATATAATTTCCTATAATAAATATATATATATATATATATATATTTATTATAGGAAATTATATATACAGTATGCTGTATATATTTTGATTCCCTGAGGGCACCAGGGTGGTACACGGTCAGATTACGTGTTTCATCAAGCAATTGCATTACCAGGGAATATATTTATATATACTGTATCATGTTAAACCTGTTTAACAAAATTAAACTGAAATACAAAGCTGGGGTAACACTGGATAATTTAACGTGCATTGACCAAAGCATAAATACAATTGGTTTTGAATATCTTCTCTCAGACCTGGAAAAACCTTTCTAGTTAATTGGTTTCCTTTGACTAATATTTATTTTATCTTTTAACCCACTAAATAATTAAATTTTTGATCGAGTACATTTTAGACGATAAAAATGAAAATTACTGTACTGTCAAATTAACATTGTAAATTTGTCCATGTTTCAGGTGTGGAAGCAGGTGAAACAGCCTGCAAGTTAGCACGAAAATGGGGGTACTTGGTGAAGGGAATCCCCGAGAACCAGGCCAAAATCATCTTTGTAAACAACAACTTCTGGGGACGCACAATCTCCGCCATATCCAGCTCAACTGACCCTGTTGCATTTCGTGGATTTGGCCCATATATGCCTGGCTTCTCTCTCATCCCTTATGATGATTTGCAGGCACTTGAGGTAATTCTAGATACTGAGCAAAACAGTTGGCATTACAATGAGTCTAGACATTATGATAAATCTTTAGCACTAATGTATGTATAGATTTCATAATTACAGTACAATGATCTCGGGAGGGGGAAGGGAAAGGGGTCAGTCATCCTTGAAATCTACCATTTGACATTACTTTAAAGGTATCTGCAATGATTTCAAATTGTGCCAACTTTTAGGTTGCACTACTTGTACTGTATATTTAAATATATTATGACTAATTTAAAACAATAACAGTTACTCTAGACATTACAAAATTATTAGTTCTAAAAATAAATATTGATGGACTAATGTTTTTAATTTCTCGGTAAACAGACATTTAAATTACACAACAGAAGAAAATCTTAATTCTGTGACAAACTTTCCTGCACTAGTTCTCTATTTTACAACACTTACAGCCCTCAGAAGGCAAATTGCCATCTGCTGCTCCATTACTGTAATGAACCCAACCACTTGGGCTAATCAGTGGGGCAATGCCTCACTTTTTTGATGGGGTCAACATTCAATCTGCCAAGTGGTTGAGCACTTTTACTTCACCCAATCCTTATCTCCCAGCTCCATGTCCTCATCTTCACCTTCAAGTGCTGTATAGTCATAGTGGCTTATCGCTTTGTCCTCATAATTTCCTTCCTTTTCCTGTCATTGGTATAATGGATAATGAGACGCGTATAGTAGATTTATATGGTCGTTACTCATGTTTTCAATGCTAAGGTTGTACTTTAGGTACATTTCATTCTTCCACACATTCTTTGTCTTTAAATAATGAAGTGGCAAGGCATGTTCAGTACTTGCTTGTTTGACCCGAGGTATAGTACCCCATTCATTGACAAATTTCACTGTTATGTAACAGATGATCAATTAAATGCCTTATTTGTTCATCCAGTACATCATACACCAAGAATGCTGATATGGCTTCCCATAGTCAGGGACAGGATGACCAATCTTCCTGAGGATGCAACCAACAACAGTTGTCTCGCTCCCAGATACCTATTTACTGTGTGGCAAACAAGGGCATAATGTGAAACCATGTTGCCCAGATGTTTCTGCCCTTCTGCAGGAATTGAACTTGGGACCTTTTGGCAGTGACCCAATTGCACTGATCTTTGCATTTTCAACATTACATGTTCACTGTTAACTATTTGGATAATATAGCATGTACATTATCTTTCTTGGATGCATTTGTTAATATCTGCTAGTATGCCATAGTTTTCCCATAAGTTAATTGGTTGATTTGCCATCAATTGGGCTGAAGATATATTGAATATTCTGATCGAGTTGGCTATATTATCAACCCTAAATACTTAATTAGGTTTTCTTCTCTTGTGTTTTCTTCAGTCTTGCACTCTGTCTCATACATATACGAGATGGTCTGGTTTAAAATTTATTATAATACTGTACAATATTGTATTGGGATCTTCTCAGTCCTTTCATGCCAAAAACTAAAAAACAAATCCTTTAGCTTATGGTAGCCAGTTTCAACTCTATTTCATATTGATTATTCTTGTGAACTTTGAGGATCCAAACAATGACTCAGTTTAGTCACATTGTACATGGTTTCAAGAGATTTATTTCAGCTGTGTATACAAGGTGAGATTTCATAATTCTGAAGTTGCAAGGGTAAAAATGCTTATTGCCATCAGTGGCAACTAGTTTATTATGTACTCACAGCTCATGCTATGAACAGTGAAGCAAAGTTTCTGTGTAGTACAGTATTGCTGATATCAAAAGTCTTACTCAAACCCCAGTGGGTGACATTTAAAATGCTGTATACCAACATGATTTTGTATGGACAGGAGGCTGTGTCAGATCCCACAGTGGCTGCTTTCATGGTGGAACCCATCCAGGGAGAAGCTGGAGTGATTGTCCCTTCTGATGGTTACCTCAGGGGTAAGTGCTCTTGTCATTATTGTGTGTAATTAATTACTGTATTTTTTATATAAACTTTCTCATTGCAGAATGACCTCCCAAATGTAATTAAAAGCTGTGTATCTCCCATCCAGTTCAAAAGAGAGACTAAGAAATACTGTATATACTTAATATCGTGTAACTAATTTAATTTTGCTCACATTTTCCCTTGCAATAGTTTTTCTTGTGTTACTGTTATCTTAAATTTTAAATTAAATTTATGTCCTTTCTTCATTGTCATCTAATTATGGTACTGTATCTACATTTGTAAAATTGCTTACTCAAGTACTTTGTGTTTGCCCCATTAAAATTTTCTAATTTACTCTTTTGTTGTGTTATGTTCCAGTAGCTTTACTAAATTTCATCTTTTTATTTTCCTTCTGTTATTAATGTAAAAATCTACTGTACTGTTGCTAGAACAACAGATTCCATAATGCTAAAACTTAAAAAAACAAGTCTATGCCTGTCATCATTACATATCACCTGAATATTTTATACAGGTACAGTATTTATATTATTTCTTAAACATCCTCACTTTTGTTAGCTTATTTCTCTTTTAGTATTAAGCATTTACTCCTTTAAACCTTTAAATTGTTTTGTATCAAAATGATTAGGATTTGCCCAAAACGCTTTGCATATTAGTGGCTTCATTTGAATGTGTAACTCCTGTCCCCACAATTCTCCCTTCCTTTTATGTTTTCTGTGTACACATTCTTATGAAAAAATGTATTATTATTTATTATTATTATTATTATAGCAAATAAAATTATCTACATACATACTGTACTTAATACCATGGATGATTTGCCACACATACATTTACCCAATACACACGAGTCAAACTAACTGGTGGCATGGTGCAGGGACCAGGACCAACAATCAGGTATGTAAGTCTGGTTCTGTCCGATGGTGGATATGAATATCCAGCATTAGCAAACAATTGTGTGAGACAGTGATTAATTGCAGGTATCCGGACAATTTGTGATCGTCATAATGTACTGTGGATCGCAGACGAGATCCAGACTGGTCTAGCACGCACAGGACGTCGCCTGGCAGTCGACTACGAAAATGTCAAGCCAGACATCCTCCTCCTTGGCAAGGCATTATCTGGTGGTGTCTACCCTGTATGTATCAACCATCAATATTGTATTTAGTAGCATAAAATGTTCTTAATCCCAGTGTATAATCAATCTTTCTCAGTGAAATTCACCCATAGAGCATGGGAAAATTAGAATATGTACGGTAACTCCTATAATATAGCTCTGCTTACATTTTTTAAAGATGAATGCAATACTGTTGTATGACAATGAAATTGCAAATGGTTTTGTAATCTACTGCCTTTTCACTTTACTTGTTCCAACCATCCAAAACTGTTTATGAATAGAAATTTATTGGCACTTTTTTTCTCAGCTTAAATCTATGGCCTCTTATTCTTGAAGTTGCATATTTAACAAATTCTTCCTTGTCAATTGTAATCATTCTTGTCACAATTTTGTATGTGGTGATTGTATCATCTCTTTTACTTCTATCTTCCAGCTTTTGGCATATTTAATGCCTCAGCCTCTCCTCAAAACTCTTGTTTTCAGTTCTGAGAGCATTTAGTACCTTATTTTTGCACTCTTTCTAGTTTATTGATGTATGTATATGATGTATATATGCCCACTGCAGCATATTCCAATCCAATTTCAGTCTCGCAAATGTTGTGAACAATTTCTTTAGTAATGTATTAATCTTATCCATAAATTTTCAAGCAATTTTGAAATTTGAAAGTGTAGGCTCTTCTCATAATGCCTTTGATGCGATCTTCTGACAACAGTTGACTATAACCACCCCTAGATCTCTTTCTGCTAGAGTTCTTTAGAATCTCATCACATAATGTATAGGTTGTATGTAATCTTTGTTTACAATCCCACTTGTCATTATGTGACATCGCTTCATTCACATATTTTGTCGATGTCATTATGAAGGGTATGGCAGTCATCTAAATATTTTCACAATGAAATCTCTAGCATGGAATATTTGTGTGAAAATATTATGGCTATATTTGAGATTAAACTTGTATCTCTGGACACCCCAGAAACATACACTTCCCACTACAAAATCACCATGATAGGCCAAAGGTATTTCAACCAGAAGTTCTACCTGACTGACAGTTTGGAAGGCACCAATTGGCACCCACAATCTAAATTTTTTGCCCGTCATTACAGTGCCTAATGTAGTGTTTCTGAGATGTCCAGAGATGCAAGTTCAGTCCCACTCCCATTGTCATAATATTCTCTCATTGAAGCCTTTCATTCTCCCTAGTAACTTAGCATCATCTTCAAACATCTTCATATTATTCTGAATCCCCTCCAGTAGATCATTAATACAGACAATTAACACTTGTGCAAGAAATAATTCCTATGAATTTGTTTATTCGAGCAAGTAGTCGACCTGTATGCTCTAGCCTCCTGAACTGTATGTTTGTGCACACATTCATGCTTGGTTGCAAGTGTGTACATATATTTAGCATGTATTTTTAGCTTTTTAGTCAGGATAGTTAAATAATCCTTAGTGTAGATATTGATGGAATAGATGGCAAAATGACAGTGACCTGTATTATAACCCCTTTTTGATTCTTTTCCCCTCAGTTTCGTAAAGAACCTCACCCTGTAGATAAATGAAGGTGTTATGTAAAAATTGTACATTAATGATATTGTGTCTGTAGGTGTCAGCTGCACTCGCAGATGATAAGGTTATGCTGTGCATCAAGCCTGGCGAGCACGGCTCCACCTATGGTGGCAACCCCCTTGGCTGTAAGGTATGTTTCCATTGCTCAACAGAGTTAAGATGTTTTCCTAGAATCAAGTCATTCTCTCTTTATATGTATGTTAACTTCCATCATTACATTTGGAATGCATCTTCTATTAATGTAATTACTTGCCACTAATAATATGCTCCTTGGAAGATACAGTAATATGATAGAGGTACTTACAAGAAGGAAGGTCACACACTTTTTTACAATAAAATTTAATCATGTACATAAAGGATGATGCATAGAACAACAGTTGCAACCAAACAAGAATCCGCTCCAAGGCCAATATCAGGTGGGGAGTTTGACCAGGGCTGTACATCTGTCAAATGATAATGCAGGTGTCCTAAGACCTGCTCAGCGTGAACAAGAAATCTTGTGTAGATCAAATGGGCAACTTTTGCCCTTTTGCTCTATGCAAGGTTTCTGTGCTTAATTTGGGAATCCCCAGTACCCTAGTCTAAATGATTTGCTGGTTTCCTGATGGCTGGTTTAAAGCTGGTTTATATCTTAGTTGGGAAAATTGACCGAGGTTAACTTTTAAAATTGCGCCAATTACTACAGTAATTCATCTTTCAAAATTACCATCTCGTCTTCAGTTCTGACTACAAATAAAATGGTATCCTGAAAGCTCGATCCATTTTCATGGTGGAAAATATCTGTTGATATTTGTAATGATTTTAAATATCAGGTTTTTTGTCAAGATCTAAATCAAATATATACCTGTGCCACAACATGATTTTAAAAACATTTTCTAATACTTCCTCTTCAGGTTGGGCTAGCAGCTTTGCAAGTGATGGAGGAGGAGAACCTGGCAGAAAATGCTGAGAAGATGGGCATTATTTTACGCTCCGAGTTATCAAAATTACCAAAGGAAATTGTTCCTGTTGTGCGAGGACGAGGACTACTGAATGCCATTGTTATTAGTAATAGTAAGTCTTGAGTAAAAGTCTGAGGAAACTTGAAGTCTCCAATATTTTTACAAGATAAAGGTTAGGCAAAAACTGGTCTATGAATTCTTATTAAATGTCTTATAAATGTCTTATATTTTACAGGGATCGATGCATGGGATGTATGTTTACGCCTTAAACTTAATGGATTGCTGGCTAAACCGACACACGGAGACATCGTCAGATTTGCCCCACCACTGTGTATCACAGAGGAAGAGCTAAGGGAGTGTATTGATATTATCAAGAAAACCATCTTATCGTTTTAACAGGTTTCACACGGAGTGTGCCATTAATGATCCGAAGTTAAAGGAGAAAGTCACCTTTTAATTGTTGCACAATTTATGAAACAAATATCATTATGAGCAATCTCACAACACATATGCAGCTTATTTGGTAGTTATTTATGTTCCCTTCAAAATGGAAAACTTTCACTTGTGACAAGCTGGCACTTTAGTCTTTAATTGTTTATAGAAAAGATGATTTACCTTTTATTGCATTTTATACTTATACAATATTAAATGTTATTGTACAGTATGCTTAAACTACAATTAAGGAACTTTTCATACAGGTAATGTTCATATAATGAAAACAGAGAGAAAAGAGAGTGGAATAGTTTATATGGTTCCTATAGTCTGGGAATTAGGGACACATTCTGGTGGCTGTGGAGGCTGTTTATGCTCTCTGACTAGGAAGAGAGGGGATAGGGTTATAACAATCTAGTGCTTTTTTGTTGGAGATAATCTACATATTCCATTGTGGTCCCTGGCTGGAAAGACTTATTTTCTGTCAATAAATCCAGTTAAAGCATTTCCTACTTAGTGCAACTGTTATACTATACTACCAATATATAACATTAACTGTTGTACATCATTACAAGTATTTTCACTAATCATATGCAGCAATTTTATCACGGTAGTCCACTGTAATCTTACTTCTTTATCTTTAATGGAACATATAACCAAGTGATATAACACACACCAACAAAATAACAATGCAGCTCTGGTTTCCTAAATATTAGGGTTATGATTTTTCCCATTGGATTTCAGAAAGTAATGGTAGAATGATATACAATTTGAACAAGTGATTTACATTATATAAACATTTGTAGAAGTATGTAGAAGAGAATAACAAAGCCTGAATAACAGAACTCTTGTGGGAGTGTATATTTCATGTTCAAGTTCTCCTAAAAACACAATCCTTCATGTTAAACATTTCCTGGATAATATAATATTTTCATCCTTAAACTTAACAATGGCCTACAAAAGTCTCCAAACAGGACTGAGTAGATATATTTCACTATCAAACCCCTGACATCCTATTCCTGCCACAGATGCTAGTATTTTTTAAATAGTTTACAGGTCATTCTTACATTTTATACAATACTTTTTAAGAGTAAGAACATATTTAATCTTTCATTTTTTTTAGTAGAGAATATTACATGTTGTTCCTTTACATAGTACCTTGTACTGTACTTTTTTCTTTTAGCCTGTCTTAGTATGTATGAAGACTACTTATAAATTAGTAAAACATGGACTGATGTTGCATTGTGTTAATATTTTAATGTAATTTCCAATGCTGTGATATGTAAATGTTTATGATTTTATCCTACCTGTACCTGTACTATGCATTATAAGTTTCAATAAAACTATCTTGTCACAATGTGTTTATCGAGTCAAACACATGAATCAATAGATACAGTAAATTATCTATTACAGGAAGAGCTGATAAATGGTCAGATTTTGCTTTTTATGTAAGTAATTATCAAAAGAAGGCACCAAGCCAAGATGATTATGTACATAACACCATAAGTGTCACTATATTTTCAAAAAGCTTTAAATATTACTTTGGATGCCAATATGAGCATCTGTTTTCTGTCCTACATTGTGGCTTGTTGAGCTTGAAACTGTTGCCCCTTGTTTGTGTTACATTAGACCTTTTTGAAGGTGTCCAGCTCAATATCCTCCAAATTGCTCAGCATTTCAAAAGCTTCAACGAGATCAGTCCAGTCATGTCTGGTTTGCAGTGTTGTTAGCCCTGTGGCCCTCAACCATTCCTGGTATGAGTAGACTTAGTTTGGGAATGATTTTTATTGCCCAGTGTTGAACATTTTCCAGAGCAGCTATGTCTCCAAAGCTAAACGAAATTTCTTTCATCCCAAACCTGTTTCCAACACTAGTACCACTGTGTTCTGCCTTCCCTTCACATCAGAACTAAAAAAATCTCACTAATATTCTTTTTTCCTCTTGACATAAAGCTTGCCTTTCGAGAACCTAACACTCTTCATGGTAATCCGGTTCACACCTCCTCCTGCTTCTAATGCTGCTGGTGTCTACTCTATTTCCTCTTCGTCTTGTTCTCTCCAATACTTTGGGGAAACTGACCATACACTAAATGACAGACTTAAGAAACACAAAAGAAGTGTTAAGTCTGCAGACACAAAGAATGCTCTCCTCTGTCATATTAGGGATTCTAATCATCCTATTGATTGGTTTTCTAAAATAATCTTTCCTTCCTCTACTATTCACAGACGCCATCTTGTCGAATGGGCTCCGATACACAACATACCCAACATGAACCTTAGTCCTGGCTTTGTTGCTGTTGACTCTTCCCGCTCACAGTACATACTCAAATGTTCTAACCTCTCTAACAAATGTAACCTAACATAAGCCTACCCATTATTTTTCTCTTTCTTTCTCCTCTTTTTTTTTTATGTTCCCATTCTTATACCCATTATTGTCCCTTTACATCGCTTTATTACACCCATTCCATCTGTACTTTTCGCCTTTCTCTTACTTTCTTCTAGGGATTTCCTCCTCACCTCTCTCTTGCCTTACTTAATGCCCGTGCCTACCTTGCTCCCCCAAGTTACAGCCCCGCTCCTGTGCCAGGCAAGTCCACAATGGGCTTACCATAACCCGTGTCACTTGGAACTTTTTGTTCCAAGTAGCGAACCTTAAACAACAACAACCTCGCTCCCATCACAATCGACTTGATAATGGCCCACGATGTACCGAAACATCGTCGGTCAGTTGATTAAACCACACAACTTCTGGTGTGAGGTTTAATCTTCCTATGTGATGAAGTGCATAAAGATACATGAATTCAGAGACAGCTCTATAAAAAAATGTACAAGAAATGTGTAAATATTTCATTCAAAATTATCTACTATCAGAAAATTTAGCCAAATATCCCCAGTTTGCTAACTGTAGGTAGTAAATGTGGGCGATTGTAACCTTTACACCGCTGCCCACTGGTTGGGTGTGTGGGATAAACTTGTCAAAAATATTTGAAAAACTAATCTACAAGCAGCTTTACTCTTATCTAGCCAAACACAATACTGTATACTTAGATCTTGTCAATATGGCTTCAGACCCCCCAAAAAAAGCACTAACAATGCACTTATTAGTATGATTAACTTGATACATGCAGCTCTTGATAAAAATGAGTTCCCTGTTGGGTTATTTGTGGACCTCTGTAAGGCTTTTGACACTGTCAACCACCAAAACCTTCTTAAATTACACCATTATGGAGTCAAAGGTCACCCTGCAATACCTCAAATCTTACCCGACTGACAGGCTCCAGTATGTTTCTGTGAATAATTCAATTTCTCCCACCCTACCCATCAACATTGGTGTTCCTCAGGGCAGCATACTTGGCCCTCTCCTCTTTCTCATCTACATTAATGACCGTCCAAATGCCTCCCAACCTTCATTTACTCCAGTCCTGACCCCCTTCGCTTTAAATGTCACAGTGAATACTGAGCTAAATAAAGTCCATCTTTGGCTAACTGCCAACAAACTCACCCTCAACATTGACAAAACTTTCCATATTTTGTTTGGCAATAAGTCCCCAAATCAAATATATCTTAGGATAAACAATACCTAAATTTGTAACAAAGTAGATGGCAAATTCCTTGGCGTTCTCATTGACCACAAGCTGAATTTCCAGGGACACATTCTAAATATATCAAAAAAGTTTCAAAAACTGTTGGCATTCTTTCTAAGATCAGATATTATGTACCTCGCCGTGCCCTGGTGACACTATTACTCTCTCATCTATCCTTATCTCAACTATGGTATTTGTGCTTGGGGTTCTACTACCCAAAATCGTTTACGTCCTCTAGTTACTCAATACAAAGCTGCTGTTAGGACAATATCCAACTCTGGCCCCAGACATCACTCGGTACCCCTACTCAAATCTCTGAATATGTTAGATATTAAGTCACTGCACATCCTCTAATGTGTATTATTTATTTTATATATATATATATATATATATATATATATATATATATATATATATATATATATATATATATATATATATATATATATATATATATATATATATATATAATGCTGAACTGTAATGTCAATCATGACCTTAAAAGCTTCATTGAAGGTTGTAACAGAACCCATGAGCACCACACCAGAAACAAATACCTTTTTGATATTCCAAGAGTACGACTTAATCAAACTAGAAATGCTCTACAAATCAAGGGACCCAGAATGTGGAAAGACCTTCCCAACCATGTTAAAGACTGTATCTCTCTCAACCAGTTTAAGATAAAAACTAAGCACTACCTAATTAACTCCCTGTAACCTACCTTACCCCTATAATGTCAACCCATGTCTGTTATTTTTAAACAATGCTGTTTGTTGACCAAATTGTATCTTTGCTGTTTTTCTGCCATGTTCCCCCTTTTTTATTTTTATTTTTTCTCAACACATTTTATACTTTAATCTCAATTAGTATTAAGTTTTAGTCTTTAGTGTTTTTCCTGCCCGAAACGCTTTGCGTAATAGTGGCTTTAGGCATTGTATGTACTAGCTCTATCTATAAATTCATCAATATTTGTATCACACCTTTTATGTATGTACTTTACCTGAATAAACATTTTAATTTTTTAATTTTTTTGAATAAACAAGTCCCCCACTCGGTGCGCGTTTTCTTCCAACCGCAGAAAACTAATCTCTCCTTTGAAATAACCCATGTTATTGATAATGTCTTTAATTCGATTGCGTTTAATTTGTACCACGTAGTTATGTCAAGCTCAATAGACCAGAGAAGTTGTCTGGCCTGAAAAAATGAAAAAAATAATGCAAAAATACTTGCGGGAAACTACGTGTGTGAGTGACTTTCATAGAATGTACCACTCTAACACCTATGTCTGAACTTTCGCAACCCATTATAAAATTAACTACTTTGAAGAACTAGCCTTCTAAATCACAGTTATCATTTTTTATATTTAATAAAACTTACCGTTTCATTCTACTACACAATGACATAGACATTCACTGAGCCAGTCCAGCAGGTCGTCCTCTCTGCCCGACGTTTGACAGTCCACTGACAGCCTGACTGACTGACGGTCGCCGGAAAAGAAGAAACTTCAATCAACAGAGCATCGTCTCTTTGTCCGAATGTCCTGACATGACTTAATACATCACTTTTGATCAGTATTTCAAAATTATGCCTTACAATGAGGGGCTGGTCCCAAACCTGCACACAGAAATAACATCACATGAGACCAGAAGACATGGCAGGATGTGCAGAATACCCCCGTTGAAAAGCAGAGGTGCAACTGGTACTCTGAGAGAGAACTCTATCAACATCAGAGGCCAGAGACTGTTCAACACGCTTCCACTACACATAAGGGGCATAACTGGCAAACCCCTCACAGTGTTCAAGAGAGAACTGGATAAGCACCTCCAAAGGATACCTGATCAACCAGGCTGTGACTCATACGTCAGGCTGCGAGCAGCCGCGTCTAACAGCCTGGTTGATCAGTCCAGCAGCCAGGAGGCCTGGTCGACGACCGGGCCGCGGGGACACTAAGCCCCGGAAGCACCTCAAGGTAGCCTCAAGGTAGGTAGGTACAGTATATAGTATTTTTTATGTTAAGTATTTTACCTATTGTTAAAATTTCATCCACCATAAATAACAGATGAACATAATTAAAAAAAACGAAATGTAATTAAAAAACGTTTCTTAGCCGTTTGACCCTATATGACACGGTCGACTTAACAAGCATTTGCATGCTTGTTAGGGAAGGGAGTACCACCTTTGGCTGGAAGAAGGGGGACCTTTAACCTCGGAGGAAACAACACATAACGCATTGGAGAGAATGCTTGTTATGTAACATTATGTGGTCTTGGTATCTGGCATCAGTTGCAAGATACACTCCATTGTCAGTTACAGGTCGTCTGGTACAATGACACCAACCTCTCAACTATTCGTACTGTACATCTTGAAACGATGGTTCATTGCTTCAAAGATGTACTGGCTATCCTCATGAACATTCCCTTTTGTCTCATTCCACTTGCTTTAATTCATTACTTCGGGGGACAGGCAGTCAGTGTATTTATACACGTTATGGGTATATCCTCCTTTCCCCCAGGTCGAATTACTGACCCCTCATAACAGCTGACTAACTCCTGAGTACTTACTAACTGCTAGGTGATACATAATGCGCCCAACCATTTCTGTCCCACCCTGGTTTTGAACCCAGAATTCTGGATTATGAGTCGAGAACGAATCGAACTGTAGGCCCTTTATTCTTTTAATAAGAAGTGTTTCCCTACACCCAAATGCCTCTGATAAGTTTCTAGCTCCAATCTGTTCACCACAAAAAGGGGCTTGTTTCCTTACACCTGATG